GTATCTATTGATCATACGGCTCTGTATGAAATTATTTTATTTTCTCAATTGCTTTCATACCCCCCGCGTTGGTTCGGTGCAGACTGACAAGAATTGAATGGGAAGAACTTTTAGGTTTTGATGACGGGTCGGGAATGCAGTGTAATTGTGGGATCCTCTACTGTAACTGCTTGAGCGATGGTCCTATACGTTTTTCGTCACCTAAGACCATCGGATGTCCAGGGGCCCATCACGGAATCTCACCCAGGAGGAGCAGTACCCTACCTATGACATTCACCTATGATAGATACCTCCTCGGCCAATAACTTAGAAACTTGGAATCATTGGAGAAGAGTTTCTAGGTGTAAGAGCAAGGATTCTCCTGCATAACCAGGTATCGAAAGAGCCGGATACCTACTTACAAATAGCGCTGAACACCACCAGACTATCCCTCCCCCAGAAAGGTATCCAAGAGCTAGATTTATTTTCGGGGCATGCGACCCTCTTTCTCATATCATACATACATAAAAATGGAATATCCTGAGGTTGATTTGTGCCCTCCATAGTGGTATAATCGCCTGTCATTACTTGCCAGTTTTATTGATTACGTAATCTCTGTGGGCAACCCTCCGATTTCCATACTTCTATTGCGACAGGGAGTTGTGTCGTAACAATGCTAGGGCAGGGGTGTTCTGCGGGGTCGGATCGAATGAAGTTAATATTCAAACCCGTGCTGAATGATTATCATCCGCTAAGGGTACGTACTTTTGTGGTACCTGGGGGGATGGGGGGGGATTTGCTTCTAATTGGGTAATATTATGCTCGACTATATCCTCCGCTGTGGCGGAAGCGTTGGGGGAAACAACAAAATTTTATAAACTGAGTACTGGTATTTATACTGCACTTCCCTTCGCCGTAAATGTCACCTCTGGTGAGCCGGCCGTTGGTGCTACACTGGATATGGTGGGGAGAGGAAAAAGGAAAGAAGGGGAGAAAAAAATTGTAATTGATATAATAAGTAATTGTAAGTTACTGGATTGGTGTTGTTAGGTAGGGTGCGATTCTGCAAAGTGATATTCTCAACCCCAGAGAACGGAAGCCCAATTTAGTTGAAGTCATTGATCATATTATGATAATAATATTCTAACGGAAGACAATTTCATACTATCATAGCACAGTACCGTGATGAGGTAATCTCACTATAGTGCTGTGGTATATCAGGTTGGGGTGCGTTGATGAGAGTGCAGTTATGTTTGGTGTCCCAAAGGGAGTGGTTTATGGTGGTGTTTAAGCTGGCATTACCCGATATTTGTGCAGGTAATGCCTCTTGGAAAATGTCCAGTTTGTGTACGTTTATAGTCAACCATCTGCTCTCAGGTGAATAGAACGAACACCAGCTTTTCCCGAATATCGTACATTTTCTCCTCATACCACTTCCACGTGCTCCCGATCGCCCTACCTCCATCACATCGCACCCTTTCCATGGACCAAAGGTACTTCCACCCCCAAGTTGAGATATCGTACCGGGGTGAGCTATAAAGGCTCCGCAATGGGATTACTTTAGTGGGGTGAGGTATGGTTAGCCCCATTGAAAGCCAGCATTCTCAGCCGTCACAACGGAGAGATTCTCCCATCGGCTCGGGGCTTCTAATAACCCCGACGTTGGGGGTTTATTGGAATAGTGGCGTTTACAGTAAAAAAGAACCGTACCAATCATAAATTTCAAAGTGACATAAGCGCCGAGTTTTGTCTACTTGCCTTGGAACGACCTAAGTTGGATGATGGCCCTGTGCCAGTGCCATGATGCTAATCTCGCAATACCCCCTTCCAGACGGACTCCAGGCAGGGGTCATGAGGGAGCGATATAGGATTATAAATTTCCGTCAAAACTAGGTATGATACCGTAAATATCTTATCACAATAACCCCCCGAGCCCCCCCCCGTCGGTATAGAGTTGGGAATGGTTAACGTATGGAGACCCACTTCATCGGAACCTGCACCGCATCCCTCCCCCATTCCTCTAGTTGGCGTACCTCACGTGCTAAAGGAAGAAAGAAAAAAACCCCGCAGCACTCTTGATAATCACAAGATTTGAGTTTTATTGGAGAGAAAACCTGAGAGCCCACAACACTTTCAATGCTACAATTTTATTTTATTTTACAATTTTTTTGGTTCCGGTTTTGATCCCGCCACGGGTGCTGTAAATTGTTCATTTTTCTCGGGGGAAAGCACATTGTATTCACGCGTGCTATGGGCAGAAATGGTTCAAGACGGTTATTTGGATGTTGAACCGATGCTAAATCCCTCCATAGTACAGGTACCGCGCTCTAGTTTAGCGTGCTACGGCCTCGGGGTTTCCAGGCCCATTGCTGCGCATGACCACGTGGTGGGGGAGGAGGGACCGGTTTGCTCTATTCAAGTATCATACTTGGTCTTTGCAGTTTACTGTAGGTTAAGTAGATGTACAGTACTATCATACTTGCACAATAGAGTACCGCACATTGGTCCAATGCCGTTCCATACACAATTTCAGTTGTATTATCTAACTATAAATTCACCCTATCCACCAAAACGCTTTCACTTAGGGGTACTAGTACCCTATTATGCCTTCAAACGGGCACTTCTGAGTTACCTACTCTACAGTTTCGGGAATCATAACCTTGCCAGCATTATGGTTATCCCAGGCTCAGCTTGTCTCCCCTTCCAATACCCGGGCTATGACGGAAGCCCCGGTTTGCAGGCCACATAAGAAGGCTTGGCTCAACGGGTGAACAGCTTAATGACTGGGTTGCTTGGTGCGGCATGCGCCTGCACGGCACGTACGATACTTAGTAGGGTTCTCAGAACTACGTAGATGCTACTACTCTAGTACCTTGCCCGTACATTTCTCTCCGAACACTCTCCCCTCACCAACCGGGGAGGGTTTTTTTTTTCCCCCTTCCGCCCACTACCGTTTCCCTGCATTTTACAGAAGATAAACAGGAACAAGAATAAAAGGTAATTCACCGGGGTGACGATTACAATGGACGGGAGGAGAAGGAGGTTTTGTGTATGATTGTATTGTATGTATCATACTTGTAACTTATATGCTAGACCACACCCGGCGGCAAGGGTTGTGATCATCATTCGTGCTTTTGTGTACTCGTATTCCTCGAAAACGGACCAATTCCCCCTAACTCCCTGAAGGTCACGAACCCATGTCCTACGAGTATAGGTACAAGTGCCGGTGCAACTGCCGTACCTTTCTTTCCAAAAAGCTTGTGATCACCGCTTCCCCGCATTTTGACTCAAACTCAAATACATATCTAACGGTTCCTAGACTGATCTAGCATATTATCCGAAACCGGGGAGTGCTCGAGACTGTGATGAGTGGGAAAGGCACAGCTTCCTGCATACCTTGTCTATACTTACAGGTACCTGTGATCATCTGTAACTTTTCACCCTTGTATTGATCGTTAAACCGTGCGGTAGTGGTCCGCTAGAAGGAGGCAGAATAAGCTGCCTACAACATGCTGTTTACCGTTTAATTGCGAGTGACTACGTGTGCTCTAGGGGTGGTGGTTGGCTTGGTGAGGGGAAGTGTGTGTCTTGGCAATAGCTGGCGGGAATGCAGTGTAAAGTATAATATCAGGTTGGTGGCTTTTAAGGCAAGATTTTGGTCGTGGCATCTGTGAAGTTGCGGTACAGTACAGATAGAGGTAACTTGAGTGCTTGTTATTGGCTATTTGGCCAAGCCTATGCACTAAGACTGTGCGGTGCAAGTTGCATATAGGCTCTATGGACCTGGGTTGTCACCACATGGGTGCTATAGGCAAGCGCAGTGTATGATACCGGTACTCGTACTGTAAAGTACCAGTAACCAGGTGTCTTGGAAACTTCCTGCTGCGAAGTGAATTACTTTAGACAGCCAATCCGCGCCATACTCGTACAGTACAGCGATAGCCAAGGAAATAAAGTACAGGTACTGTAGTAAATATAATAAACAAACCGCACTAGGCCTTTCAGGTCCCAGAAAAAATCTTCTTCAATCGACTCAGGTTGTGCCATACCGGTATTGCTGCGTACCGGTACCGTAAGGATTCGAGTAGAAGAGAACTACCAGTAGGCTAGGTCGTTGAAACTCCCGCACTGGATAGGGGTGGAGAAGTCAGGGCAAACTTAGGGATTAGTTGAGGCAAAAGAAAGGAGAAAAACAGACAACCTCAGGCTCCTACTAGGAGAGGCGCATTTCTCTCCCACTCGAGCACTTATAGTAATTCATCCATATTCCAAGAGAAGTGGTTTTGGGCTCGGGTTTTACTCGGACATGGTCATAAAGGGCGGAAAAAAGGGTCAGCAAGATCCTGTGGGTAGCGAGCAACTGGTCAATTTGGGGGGAGAAACAAAACCTCAGATGACATGAGCAACCCGGAGTTGATACGAGATGAATTATCTTACAAACAGGAGGATGGTTAGGCAGTATGAGGTAAGAATCATGAAATTGAGTTCAGTAAAGACCAATCTTGTAAGGATTGCTTGCGACCCTGAGTAGCCCTTCAGAATATCCAATTCTCTCATCTCCGGAGGAAAGTATTAATAAGCAGCAAAGCAATTGGTTTGGGTTTCTGACTTCCAGGGTGCCACATAATATGTTTCTTGTCAGCATAACCCCTGCCTTGCCGCCACAGGTTTTCCGTCCTTTATGACCATACCCGACTACTGTATAATACTCGAGTATTGGATTCGGGGGGAGTTTGGCAGGCGGGAAGAGCACCGTTCCCCGTAACTCGGGATCCCCGCGGCGGGGAGGCAGGAGGCGTTGTCACGAATGTCCGTCAACTGCAAGCAGCACCGACAAGCTGAACCCTTGGCGATCTGTTCAGGATCAAGCTTCGTCCCAATTCAACCCTAACGTGATTCTAATAATAGAATCCTGCTGGGAAGGAAGCGCCGTGTTCAGCTCCCTCCTCACTCGAGTAAATTTACGGATTCTTCTTTTTTCCTCGTGTGGATTTCTTTTGTCAGCATTCCTTTCGATTTCTCCGATCTCGCTCCGTTTACTCGAGTACCCGTACGGTACTGTATGAATAAGGTAGCCTATCCAACTCCTCAGAGCCTACTTTTCGCACACATTCCCGACCTTCATCGACATCACCGTACACTAATTTAATCGGGCCATATCCGACAATCTCTTCTCTAATCTCTTCCACACTGATCCCCGCCCATCCGGTGACCTCCGTCGCCCAGCCCTACCGTCCCCGCTCCCCACAATGTTCGGTTCATCACCAGCCGACGCATTTGAGCAGAGGGCTCAAAAGATCCGTCGCGCTGTGGAGCGGGCACGCACGCAGTTCTTGCAGAAAACTAGACCCCGAAGGTGTGTGATGTGTGTTTGTGCGTGCTCTCATGTGCTCCCCTCCCCTATCTTTTATTCTTCCCCCACTGCTTCCACCCTCAACCAACTGCCTCTTGCCAAGGAGGTGACAGATGGGAACGGTTGTAGGAAACGAAAAGAAAGAAAAATGGCCCATTTTTCCAAAATCGAAGAAGGCAAAGCAAAGAAAATATCATCACACATGAGCCGCCCAGTTTGATCTTTGACTGCAATTCATACTAAAATTATCCCCCGTGCTACCCGCCTCCGTAGTGCCAATCGGACATCCGACGTCCTAACAGGGTCATACTTCGACTACCTTCCGGTCGAGCTCATAATCAACATCTGCTGCCAGACCGACTGGAGGGACGTCACCCGTCTCCGCCTCGTCTCCCGAGCCTTCAAGGAGCTCGTTGACGCTAACGAGTCTACCATCGCTACCAGATGGATGGTCCCCGGATCATATTTGGCGCTGCTCTCGCAACTCTTCTACCCACCAAAATCTAGGACAGGAGACGGGGTGCGCCGGCCTACGATACAGTACTTTTGCGGACTAGAGAAGAGACATGCCACGTGCTCGACGTTGGCTTATTATCTTTGCGATAAGGCGGTTGCGCCGATGTATAGGACTCAGTTCACGATTAATTGGAAGGATAGGGAGGAGGCCAAGCTTAGGAAGGATCAAGCAATTCGGACGGTGCAGAGGAAGTTGACGAAACAATTGTATTATCCCCCCTCGAGGGAGCTGGGGTTTTTTCTCTCTTTGTTTTTTTTGTCATGTTTCTAGGTCACTGTCTGATTGGTTCTGTTTTACGAAAGCTTATATGGTTGATATTTAGGTATTATGTAAGGGCGTTCCCATCCTCCGTGCGTTCTTAACTCGCCCCGAGCCAAGTTTAGGGCTCTCTCGAGACTTGGGGGAGAGGCGGGGTATGATAGCAAGAGAAGCGTCATCCAACAAACTAACTCTTCTAGGTCCTCCACTTCCTAACCTACTCCCGCCTCCGCCTAGAAGCCAACAAAGCCGCAATAGCCGCCGAGAACTCCGATGAGCCGCTAACCCCCAGCGACCTAAACAGCGCCTACTTGAGCATCCAATCAAGCATATTGGCCACCTTCGACAACCAAACCCTAATATCCACGCACCACGCCCTGCACTTCCTAGTAAACTCCATCCGCCTAAGCATGTCGCCAGAGCCTCCACACAAGCAGAACGATGAACTCGTCGCTATAATCCTCCGCTGCCAAATGCCACTGAACCGCTGCGTGGAATTCTTTGCTGCAGATTGCCTCGGTGCATCGCGCGGGCTGAGGAAACAGTTTATGCAGGATATGGAGGGGGAGAGGGCGGATGCTGAGGTTAGGTTTGGGGGAGGTGCAGCGCTGAGGAGGAGTATTAGTGGCCATTCGAGAGAGGGAAGTCGGAGGAAGTGGTCGCCGAAAGTTACTGAGGTTTGGTTCGAGGCGGCTAAAATTGCGCTTGCGGAGAGGGGTTTGCAGGAACACAAACCAGATGGCGTGTATTTCTTTCCGGAATGTAGTCAGGAGCTGTTGATTGGATGTCCAGGGTGTAAGCTGAAATGATCAGGGGGTAAGAAGGGTGGGCTAGGTTAGGTTAGGTTTCCTTAGGAAAGGCGTTTGGGGTTTAGCTAGGGGTTCAATTTGTTGAAGGCTATGCTCACTCAGGTTGTATTATGCCGTGCTCGGACTATCGGCGGGCAGGTTGGCTCCATTTTTCTCTAGAGAATGTTATGAAATAGAGGGCTCGCAGATGGTCGCTCGCTTGGGTATCGAATTCAGCATTGCGGTGGTGTAAGACATTGGGTGGTAGAGAGAAAGCTTAGGATTATTATCATTTGGGTATATTAATACCCGAATGGTTCTCCCGTAGAACAAATCGAATATATTCCGATCACTATTATGAGGGATTGCAGGAAGCCAGACCTTGATATAGGAGCCTTTGAGGAAAAAAGAAAGTGGCAAGAACAGTCCCCCTGATTTTTTCACATGTTGCCCCACCATGCATGATATCTGTGAGCGTTATGAAACTGGCACGGGAGGTTAAAACTCGAAAAAGTCATCCAGCTCCTCCAACTTCTTTTCCTCTCCTGGGGCATTCTTCGACCCGTCCCGCTTCTTGCCCCTCCTATCCTTCTTCTCTGTCCTCCCGCCCCTCTTATCCCTCCTCTCAAGCCTCTCCCCTTCTCCACCGCTCCTCAATTCCACACCCCCCTCCTCCTGATCCCCCCCATCATCAAAATCCATAGTACTCTGCCCCAACGCGCCTCTCGCCATCCGCCTCTCAACCTCCCTGCGAATCCCCTCTCTCTTCTCCCGCATCACCCCCGCATCCTTAAACAAGGAAATGTACTTTTCCCCGGGGCGGTAATGCATGATGTAATTAAGGTCCAACCTAGCCTCGTAAACCTTCTTCTCTGCCTCCGCCATCCCATTTTTACCCCCTACCTTCTCCAGCTCCCTCTCCACTTTGCGCAATTTCCTCGTAGCCTTTTGTCTCTCTATTCCGCAATTAGTCACTTGTTAGCCACGCGGGGGAGGGCTAGAAGGGAATGTTGTACCGAAAAACCGAACCATATGATATCGCTTCGCAATTCTCCTCTCTTTCGCCGCGCTTTGGACTGACGAGAGTTCGGATTGGAAGGCTGATAGAGCGCGTTCGCTTTCTAGCCTGACATCGGCTGGTAGGGAACTGCTGGGGTTATTTAGGAGGCGCTGGAGGTCGCGGACTTTCTTTTTCAGGTGAGTTGTGGAGGTCTTTGGGCCCGTTGGGTTTATTAGGGGTCGACGCCGACGTTTTTGGTGTTTATGATTTTTGGGTGGCATATTCCGTCTGCTGGTGGCGGGGGGAGATGTTGGTCGTGGTGGTGAAGGATTTCTCCCCGGTGAATGGAGTGTACTGTACCAGTACGATAATTTATGGGTTGAAGTTGGGTTGAATGTGATTGAAATGAGTTATGGGTTAGGGATGGGGATGAGGCTTGGTTGAGACGTCAAGGGGTGGATGGATCGATGGCTGTTCTCGTGGAGATGAGTGACAACGAGTACAGTACCGGTATGGTTTGAAAGGCGGACGGTGAAAGAGTGTGATGCATCGTTACTTTGTCTTCTCCTCCACACCCTCAAATTCTCCTCCTGTTCTACCAATCTACCTCTAATGCTAAAGTGATCACAAGCAGCCCGGCTAACTTTCATAGATAATATCTTTTTCTATTTTCCTTTTTTCCTTTTTTCCTTTTAACTTAGTAATACCATACCCCCACCCCCGTGGGTCACCGGTCTTCCAAATCTAATTATGGCGGATACTATGAATGAAACTAGTCCTACTATTCGCTGGTCGCCGCATTCACGGCCGGATAATCAGCGCTTTCTAAAGATCGTCGGTCGGAATAGTAGGGATCATGAATTAAGTCTATTTACTGTTTCTCATCAGGTATGGTGCTTCGGAGTGTTTTGCTGGTGAGGGTGTTACTGATGTGATGTTTGTGGCGGTACAGAATAGTGCCAACGCTAGGGACGTCAAGATTAAGCTTGTCGCGAAGCATACTAAAGTTCCGTTTTTTCGCGTATGTTTCATGCTTCCTCTACAGCGCTATCTATCCATCTATCCATCTGTCTACTGGAGGGAGGGAGCTGATTAGAGGGTGGGATAGTGCATCGACTGGTCGCCATGCGATGAAGGTGAGAAACTGCTCCTCAACTATGGATTTCCCGGAAAAAAGGCTTATTTCCTTCGAGACGTAATAGCCGTCGGTCAGCCTAGTGGCGAGGCCATCCTCCTCCGAATATCTGATAACACCTCGATCCCACTAGCTGCCAAACACCAGCGCCCCTGCAACGGGGTTTCCTTCAATTGCACCGGCCAGTTCCTCGCAACAGGCCTCGATAAGGTTCGGAACGACTTCTGCCTAAACATCTGGGATGTGAACCAGCGACTCGGCGAACGAGTCGGGCCGAACAGCGACACCGGAAAGCCTCTCCGACAACTAGCCACTAGCGAGACAATTAGCAGCGTTTGTTTCGTACGAGATGATGCGAATGTGCTTCTCACCGGGATTAACTACAGGGCAATAAGGACCTGGGACCTGAGGGAGTCGCCGAACAATCAGTTAATGGGTATCTGCACTTCGCGCTGCGCAATTGGGATAACATTAGACCTCGATCCGAACTACTTTGCTTCTTATTCAGAGGATAGTGCCGTTGCGGTGTGGGATCGGAGGTTCATTCGCTATGCCGGCTCTGGGGAACCGGCCCTGAATTTTGTTCGCCCAACAGATGAATATGGGAGGTCTGGTACGCAGATAGCATCTCTGCGATATTCGTGTACTAAGCAGGGGACATTTGGGACTCTTAATTCTGGGGGGAGACTGAGGGCATATGATACTGCCAAGATTTCTGACCAGGATCCACATACAGTATCTTCGCTCGGACTCTACGGCGCGCCCGCAACCGTCGCGAGTGCCGCTGCGGAACCAGATAAGCGCAGTGGGTGGGGCGACTCGGCTGCCAGTTTGCTAGGCGGCGGTATGAGGAATGGACCAGTTGCCAGAACGCAGAATCGGAGAACAGATGGACAAACATTGTTTGTTACCAGGATCAATGATTTAGCCACTACACGGGGATCCAAGATTGAAAGAAGGATCGTGAGCTTTGATTGGATGTCCGACCCACAGGGCGCCAGCCGGGGGGAAGTGCTCCGGACGTTGTGTCTCAGGAGTGATGGGTCAGTAGATGTCATAGTTTCTTCGGGGGTCGCTACTAGTCTTGCCTGGGGGAGTAGAAATGGGCTGTCTATTACCTCTGGGAAGGACTTGAAGATTCTACCCCCGTCAGATAGCCTTGGAATAGACACTGTCAAGCCCGACGGCGAGGGACGAAGCGTGGCGCACAAAGAGGAGGCGAGCTCTATCGTCGGAAGTCCCGGTTTTGGACTAGGCATGCATGAGAAACACCCGGCCGAAAGAAGTGATAACGTTGTGCGACGGGAAGATTTCCTTCTCGACCCAGCCGAGGTGCTGCGTGACGACATATGTGTTGTCATGAGGAGAAGAGTGGAACAAGGATACGAGATGGATGTCAGTAGATTGTCTCCGGTGGCTTTCCTCTTTTATCCCTTTTTTCTGTCCTTTCTCTACCTATCCCGCTTTGGTGAGAGATGGAGGCGGGAATAAACTAATGGGACTCAGTGTGCAAAAAACGCAGGTTTGACGGAGGATGTTTACTTGAAGAACATGTGGATGTGGTTGCGGGGCGCTTGCGAGTCCGCGATGGATAATGGCATGGTTAGTGGGCTGTTGGATCTTAGTTATATGGGCGTGTTTGGGATATGGCAGGGAGGTTCGGGTCTAATAGGCTAGACGTCTAAAGTCGTTGAAATTACTGATAAGGGATAGGCAAGACGCAAGAATCGAGACTGACGACTGCGAAGAGGCCGTCAGCGAGTGATTGGGCGGATACAGTAACAGAAATTAACAAGAGGTGCAAAAGGGAGAAGTTTAAGGGCGAGAGCCAGTATCCGGAGCAGAGAATTCTGGCATTGGCGATATGTGGGTGGGACTTTTCGGCCAATGAGCTTGATCAGGAAATACGAAGGTATGTTCACTAGATATCACTCACTAGCTGACAAATCTGACAAGGTCAAGACTTGAGGAAGAAGGCCGGTATTCCAAAGCTGCTGGCTGGGCCTTTTTCCATGGTGACATTGAGCGCTCGATCAAATCTTTATCCCAAGGTGGACAGCAAATGAAATTAATGTCAACCGCTGTCGCCGGCTATCACGCACATGCTCAATCTACCCTCTCAAGCGCCACCGTAGACAACTCAGATAATACAAACGGCAACATCTGGAAAGACCTCTGCCATGACATGTCCGTCGAGCTCGACGATCCCTACCTCCGCTCCATCTTCGCCTACGTCTCAAACGGCGACTGGAAGGATGTCCTCGATGACCTCGGGCTCCCGATCCGCGAGCGTCTAGGCATAGCCCTGCGTTGGCTCAAAGACTCCGAATTGACAAAATACCTCACAGATCTAACTCTGAAACTAGTAGCAAATGGGGATCTAGATGGAATAGTTGTAACCGGTGTAACCGAGCAAGCCATAAACCTTTTACAGGTGTACATCAACCGCACGGGCGACGTGCAAACCGCAGCTCTGATATCAGCGTTCGCGGTGCCAAGGTACTTCTCCGATGACAGGGTTAGCAATTGGCACGATAGCTACAGACATCTCCTCAATTCCTTCCGGCTCTTCCACTCACGCGCAAAATTCGACGTCGCGAGGGGCAAGCTATCCCGGAACCGAACTGGCGCAATGACCATCGACGCAGTGCAGCGGCAAGTATATGTACGTTGCGCAAACTGCGACAGGAGCGTCTCACAGATCAGCACTACCACGCACCACCATCCCAACCACCACCACCATCCACACCACCCACACGCGCACCCCCAACACCCCTCCCGCGCTAGCACCTCCGGCGGCGGCGGCGGAAACATACCGCACACCGCCCCCGGCACATCCGCTACGAAAGCCACCGTGTGCCCGCATTGCAAAAAGTCACTGCCCAGGTGCGCGGTTTGTCTGCTAAACCTAGGCACGGTTGCATACAAGAAGGTCGCTGTCGGGTTGGGCACTTCCGTCGGAGGAGGAGGAGGGGTTGAGAGAGATACTGATAGAGAAAGCGATTACGATCGCTGGTTTAATTTTTGCTTAGCGTGCGGGCATGGGATGCATGCCGGTCATGCTAAGGAGTGGTTTGGGCTAAGGAAGGTGTGTCCAGTGCCCGGGTGTAGGTGTCAGTGTAAGATGTGATGTGTCTCTTTTATCTCTTGTATTCGGGTGATGGCTTTATTATTGGAGAGAACGGATGGGATAATGTAGTTTAGGTACTTCTTCCCCTCGATGTTTTTCAGCGTGGGGGCTATCCTCTTTTTCCCTTTTTCTAGCTTGACTAGGTGTGTTGGCTAGGTTGTATACTAGTAGTATGCATCGTATCGTTCCGTACCGGAATCCGCATACTTATCAGTACGCTATGCTTACCGTATAGTAACATGACTAGTCTGTCCGTTCGGGGGTGGTGGGGGGCGGGCCTACTGTTTCTCTTTTTGAGTTCTCTGGGTTTTATAACCGTCGTGTTCTAGGTATTTGCGCCTGTACGGTACAACCCGAACTTGGTGTCTTGGGTTGAACCGGGTTGAGTCGAACTACCGGTATTATTATCTTACAGTGCCCAATCTGCCCAGTAATAGCGTATAGCTGTTTAGCAGGTTATGTGCGTCCGCACCAGTCACGTTGGCTGTGGATCAATTACCACCAGTTTTTCTCTCCTTTCCTTTTTTTCCCCTCCTGTCGTAAAACATCCCCGCTCTGCCCCCGCCTGGACCAGGGGCTCTCTGGCGAATGATTACCCATGATCTTGGAAATCCTGTGGATTCTGGAGGAAAGCCTGTGGGGGATCAATGAATCACCGGAGTCAACAACCAACGCTTTGCCCGTTTTGGCGTATGCGCCCTTTATATCCTTAACTGCGCTGGTCGAGGCAGCGTTTTTTTATGACGGTGGTATAGGGATCATGAATGCCCGTCGCTGTGCATAAAACGAGTGCAAGTCCACACAGTAGGAACGGATTGTAATACTTTGTATCATATTCCTAGGGGGTGTGGTGGTGTTTCTGCCTACTGTGCGTAGGCAAAATCCGAAGCCCTGCAGTCAGGATGTCGGTGGCCAGGTAACCTAGCTGCCACAAGACCAGTTAAACCCATGGTAGTTTATCAGAACCCGGATTCGAGGGGCGGACGGAGGTATGATATGATATGTGCTTTGTTTCGAGGATTATGAAGGGGGATTCAGAGGTGAGGGCTTGCCCAGCGTTGCGGTACTTCTGGATGTCTTTCTAGATATCATGAATGGCGCAGTTCTGTGGTTAGTATTGGTAGTTTGGATACTTAGAACTCGAGGTGATCTCGTTAGCACCTAAATTGACGCTAGTCACCGTTTTGGCTATGCCCATAGTTTGTCTAGGACGTGCTTGGATTGTTGGCCTCCTGTAGTTATTCATTTTCGGCTTTGCCATCATAATTGTAAGGCGATGGCGGAGGGGTTGTTCCGCATTTCCTTATCATGGTTGGTCACTCGTCTTTCTGCTTCGTGCGGGATTCTCATGGACACGCGGAGTACCGATTTACTTGCAAGGCCCTATACCAGCTGACCAGATCGCACATTTTTAAACCTCGTATAGTATAGTGAGTAGCATAGGCTAGTGAGCGTAGCCCCCCATGACCCCTGGTGCGAGCTCAGGATTTCTTAGGCGCAAATGCATTTAGCTCCAGTTACGAAACAAACTGCGATCAGCGGTCACTGACATATTCTCTTGGGGAACTAGTATTGTATTCGTTCTTTGTGTGATCTGTTGGGCTGGCTATCCTTTCCCCTTCGATATTAGGAAAATATAGAAACGCCCGTAGTTCTGTGGTGCCGGGATGTACAGTACAGTAAAAGTAGGCATCAAGTGAGAATGGGCAAATTTCTCAAAGGCCGTGGCCAAGGATCGATAAAGGAAAAATGCTCATTCTAGTAAGCAATCCCCACCCGCATTCCTAACAATATCACATGAGATCCTGCTTATCGGGTGAGACGATTTAGATAACTTACTGCACCTGCCCCCGCCCCCACCAGGAAAGTGCTCGTGACATCCGAGTATTGAAGTCACGCATAATGCCTTGAACAGGATCATTATCGGATAGGAATATCGTAGTGCACTTCTAAATGTATGATGCGTGTCTAAATCTGTTCTCACTCTTAGCCAAACCTGCCTGCATATTGAGAACCCTGCTATGGCTGTTCCTTTATAACAACTAAACTTTATCGTTACCAACTAACGATCAATATCTATGATTTCCGTCCCTTTGGGAATTTATCTCCTCTTATGATATCGCAATTATATAGCAATAAGAATAACGCAAACCATTGTCCTTAAGCTTAGTTAGAAAAAACTTTGGTGCACCTATTGGGAGAATAAGTATTAGTTCCCACGATATGTTTGTGTGAAATACCTAGCTGACGCAGTGGCTAATATGTCAAGAACTGATTAACCCTTGTGCGCTTAGTAGAAGCCCAAGAGTTCAATTCCCGTTCACAAACCAGTTATTATTGAACGATCCATCTCGCAGGGCAAGAGAATTATCAAATCCTGCCCTATGGGGACTGGACTGAAGACCATTGGCCTTCTTTAATAGGGCTGTGGGACAAATCAGACCGGCTGCGAGGTGGGAGAATCCTCTTGTGAAGGAGTATATCAGTCAATGACTGACTCGCGCAGCGATAGAGAGAAACTAAAGGACTAGCGATAGTTGAGCGACTTTTGGAGGAAGGAGGAGATATCAATGCGAAATCTCGAATATATGGCACCGCATTGAACATAGCAGCTATCCAGAAAGACGAGTGTATAACCAGGATGCTATTGGAGATTGGCGTCAACGCCGATTTATGTGGGGGGGAGTACAATATCTTGCATGTGAGGGTGCCTCCTTATATGAAGTGAGCGGTGCAAAGCTAACAATAAAATCAACTTGTTTTCCTAGACGGTATGTGAAATTGCCGTCATCGCAGGGACCTATAGCTGATTGGGAATTTGTTTACCCTACAGAAGGCAAGTTGAAGTCCCAGACCACGCCTACTCCGCAGTACCGTGTTGCTAATACATGAGGGTCTATGGCTTTAGAGAGTAAGTGAAATGCGATATGTATATTGGGCAATCACCAGGATTAACTCAGTATTGACGTGTGAGCGCAGAGTGTATGTTAGCCGTTCCAATGCTGAATACAAATAAAGTTTAATGACTTGTGTGGAGAGGTAGGAGGTGGGTTGTTCGGTTGATAGTACAAATATCACAAATCATGGCTGACTGCCGACCTCTTGGGTACTATAGTTGGTACGTAAATGGGTCAGCATCATTCTGCAGACTAAGCACTTGTTGACGCAAGGCTGTTTGGTGGTATAGGAGGTAAGCGAGCGGGATCAGGCGGGATTCAAGGATGACGGGATTGCTAACCCGTTGCGCACCGCGTTTTGTAGGAAGTGAGTGAATGGGATCAACCACGCTTGTAGGGTGAGGCAATGGCTGACCGCTCGACCGTTGTGTGTTGTAGCTAGTAAGTAAACAGGATCAACCTCGGTTCTAGCACGAGACAATTGCTGACCCATTGCTTCCTGTGTGTTGTAGGAGGTGAATGAGCACGATCAACCACAGCTCCGGAACGAGGCAATTGCTGATCTCTAGCTCGCTGAGTATTGTAGTGGGTACGTGAACGGGATCGGCCACGGTGTTGGGGCGAAACAACTGCTGATTTCTGGCTCGCTGAGTGTTGTAGGAGGTAAGTGAACAGGATCAACCACGGTTCTTGGACGAGGTGATTACTGATCGCTATCTGGCTGGGTGTTGTAGCGGGTAAGCGAACAGGATCAGCCACGGGTCTAGGATGGGGCAATTGCTGATCTCCGGCTCGCTGAGTGTTGTAGTTTGTAAGTGGGCAGGACAAGGCGCTGTTCTGGGACGTGGCAATTGCTGACCTCGGGCTGGCTGAGTGTTGTAGCTGGTAAGTGAACAGGATCAACCCCGGTTCTAGCCTCTGGCTCACTGAGCGTCGCAGCGAGTAAGTGAACATGGTCCGCCACAGTTCACAGCCGAGACAATTGCTAATGCCCGGCTTCTTGGTTCCGTCAGACCGTAAGATTATCCGCATTCTCATAATCCTTTCTTGTTTCTATACTAATACTCCTCTCCCGCCTCTCCAGATTGTTTGTAATCCAAAACTCTTCAAGTCTTCATTGATGCAGGCCATTTATTTCTAACATCAAGATTACTTTCCTCGATAGAATGTAACTATTGCGAACTCCTATATCGTTCCTCCTCACACAGCTAACTAATTTCTCGTCGCTTTACTCAGTTTGTATGTAAACCCCGCTACTTGCCCCTTCAACTTATAATTGATACTTACCTCTTCTTGCATCGCAGCTCGTTTGTCAACCTCTTCTTCCTCCTTCCCGCTTCTCCCACTAACGCTTAATCCTCCTTACAACCATTGGGTAACCTAGAAAGTGCGTAATATGATTTTATTACCACCGGTCACGTAAGCGCTGGATATCTGTTAACCTTTCCCGTAGGCCGTGGGTCGCTCCCGTTTGCTATCCTTACCTTCATTGCAGATTATTATTTACCCCCCAATAGTTTTGCCCCGTGGACACCCCAGGCCCGAGCACACTAGATCCGGGTACTCCAGACCCGGGCACGCCGGACACGGCCACTTCAGACCCGGGCACGCCAGACCCACGCACACCAGACTTGCGCACACCAGATCCAAGTACGCCAGAGCCACGCACGTCAAACCCGCCTACGCCAGACCCGGGTTCTCCAGATGAGCACACTACCCCCTGCTGCGGCAGCTGCTCCTTGTGCTAGGGGCTCGTATCACGGCTGGTCGGTTTCCATCCTCTTCTAGATTTTGGTGGATACTTAAATATCTTACTAATTGTGTGCAAGAGTCGGCGCCTACAGACCAAAGCGGGTCATTGGTTGGAGGACCGTCATTCGTTCAGTGGATCCACTGGCTCGGGACTACGCCTATTTTTTGTTCACCCTATGCTACTGTCATCAAAATTTGTTTCAGCGAGGAGTATGATATTTGTGTAGGATGTAGAAGTTTGTGGGAGCCAGCTCTAAGTGGCGTGTGGTGTATCTGTTACTTCTTTCCTGGCGTCTTCAGAATTCAATTACTCGTTACCAACATGGATCTCAAAAGTCATAAAATAGCAACCAAATCACCAATAAGATGGCTTGATAAACTACGTGTATGATACCAGTCAGTGATCCTAGACAGCTTTTCCGGCCAGTCCGGCCATGGCTCTGAGATGCCTAAGTCAGTCCGGTCGAAAATATCATCAACTGCCGGGTCAATTTTTGCAGCGATCCAAGTTAAAACCGCGAGATTCCATGCAATCCACTTTTAACAACAAGGTT